TCCATCTACGGCAAGCACTTCAACGACGAAATCCACGACGAACTCAAGCACACGGGGGCCGGCCTGCTGTCCATGGCCAACGCGGGGCCCAACACCAACGGGTCCCAGTTCTTCGTGACCCTCGCGCCGACGCAGTGGCTGGACGGCAAGCACACCATCTTTGGTGGGTTAGGTGGGGGGTTGAGAGGGAGGGATGGAGGCAGGGAGAGGGAGAAGGGGTTGGTTTTGTTGGTATTGTTTGGGCATTTGTGTACTGTGTGTTTTTTTTTCTTTTTTTTTTCTTTTTTTTTGTGGGTAGAATATTGGGTAGGATTTAATTGTGTGTGTGTGTGTGTGTGTGTGTGTGTGTGTGTGTGTGTGTGTGTGTGTGTGTGTGTGTGTGTGTGTGTTGAGACCGTCCAGTTATTTCTGTTTATTATGCGACCGTTGTTGTCTTTTTAATATCCATGTATATAAGTGTAAATGCATTTTTTTTTTTAAATGTCAAAGTAATATGAATTTATCCATATAATCAGGATGAAATTAGTAAATAGTAGTAGTAGTAGTAATCAGATATAGTAATCATCATCGTTATCACCACCATGACCATCATCATCAATCATCAATCATCAATCATCAGTCATCATCATCATCATCATCACCACTTGTAATAATGACCATAGTACTACCATTAATACCACCATGACCATCAGCATCAATCATCATCAATAATCATCATGATCATCATCATTACTTGTAATAATGACCATAGTACTACCACTAATACTAATTAAAATCTTATTTCTTTTACCTCATCAGGTCGTGTATCCAGTGGAATGCAGGTGATAAAGAGAATGGGCTTGGTGGAGACAGATAATAATGACCGACCTGTAGATCCCGTCAAGATTAAGAGAGCATATGTCAAAATGCATTAAATGTATTGATCATTAAATAACACTTTTTACTCCTTTTACTTCATTTTTTTTTCTTTCTTTTATTTGGTTTACAAAGTAGAAACACAATTTGTAATAAATTATTATGTATATGTTGTTGTTTTTATTGTCCAACTTGTGTTTGTTGCATGTTAAGAATTGTGTTTGGGGATGATGAAAGAGAGACGAAGGGCAAAGTTTCTATATCACACGTTTTTCTCATTATCCCATTATCCCCCAGTGTATGTAGGTATTCATACTTGCTCACACAGAAAAGAATAAGTAAATAAAAAATAAAAAAACAACCATACTGGTTCGCTGTTATTTACTCACTCATTTTTCTTCTCTTCTTTACTCTCATTTACTCTCTCTCCCTCTAAGCTCACTTACTGTCTCTCTGTCTCTCTCTCTCTCTCTCATATTTTAGCGCCAGTCTACATTTCTCTGTATTTTCTTTGCTCTCCGTGAAATGAATTCTATATGAGCACTAGTTTGTAAGGTTAAAGTAGGTTTGAAAAATGAGTAGGTATCCCTTACAGTACTTTTATATGTAGCTTGAAAAACGATATTATGGCAAACTTTGCATAAGAATATTTTACTCATTGTAACAAGTAATTTTCAAGTATGTTTAATAACTGTCGCTGATAATGTTATTCACAAATAAATATTGTTATAAATTGTTATATTTTTCTGGAATAATAGATTTTAGAGTTCCACTCCACATCCAGTGAGTAAAGTGGACCCCTTTACCCTTCTGCATTTCAACTTCAGTAGACATAAAGGAATGAGAAGAAAAAAAAGCATCAAAATCGAGATGTGTTATTATTAATAATTAAGTTAAATCAAATAAATCAAAAAACTCCTTTTTTACATTCAGTTTGCTACAACAGAAGAAACTCCTTGCATGCCATTCGGGAGACAACAGCATCCACAAGGCTGCTAACTGTTAGTTCTGAGGGTGTCACCTTGTAAGTCTCTGTTACTTTGCTTTTGTTGGTCAGGGACGAAAGCTCTGCTACTGGTATTTCCTGCAATAAAGATTTACATTCAGTGACAATCTTTACATTCATATAATCTAACTGTTACTGAATTCATTACAAAGTATGAATTAGCATTAGTGTCACCAGTCTTGCTTTAGCAAAGGGCTTCGTAGAGAACAGCATACTTTTATAACTGAGGTCTATAATAAACAAATATTTTCCAGAAAGAGAAGAGAGAAGAAATAATGCTGCCTATTTCTACATTACTCACTTTTCCTTTAACTTGTCCGTGTAGTTGTTTTAACTTCTCTCCGGAGCCATCATCCAAGACAACAGCCAGGATATGTTTGTCATCGTCCCCTAACCCGAAGTTCTTTAGGGATTCTGTAATCTGGAAACCACAGGTCATACAAAAAATAAATATATAAAATAAAAGCCATATTTGAAATCCTTTGTACTGTGGATGGCTGAGAGATCACTTTGATTGTATTATGAGGATTACAGATAAAAAGAGTAATGGTACAAATACTGGAATTAGTGATAACGATATTAATAGTTAATAGTGACAATGAAAATGATAAAGAATGCTAATGATATTAATAATATTTATGATACCAAAATAATGAGTGAAAATTATTTAATAGTCTTAAAATCCCCCCCCCCTCCATAAAATAAAAACCTATTATGAGGTTTCAAAGCAAAATCACATCCTACATTTCATATTTGCTTTGTTATCTAATGGAAAGAACATACCTATTTTTTGTTTCATTATCATTTGTCACGGAAAAATCAATAAAAAAAAATACACAAGAAATTCTAAGTACTTACAGTTCTTGTGGGTGACAAGTTGTAAATAATCTCTGCAAAAACCGATCTTGTTGTCATCTTCTTGAGAGCCAAACACCGTACAGCCTTGTTAGCTGCAACAATGACTTGGAAAGAGTCGACAATCTGTGAATAATATATAACATTTTCACTTCATTCTCGTCTTTAAATGTTTCATATTACATATATGTCCTTTTCAAATACTTCATTCAAGACTATCCTTCTGTGTACACAAGTAAATAAGTCAGTCAGTCAGTATCACATACAAAATGAGAGCGTGTGCTTGTGTGTGAATGTGAGTAGGAGTCTGTTTGTTGGCGTGTGCACTTGCATTTCTTGGTAAATAAATGAAAATCCGCCCACTTACCATTTCTGGCTTAATGAGACTTGCTTCAACCTGTCCCTTCATAATGAGTTGTCGCACTTCTGCTGCATTTTCAATTTCGTACAAAAGCACATGGCACTTCGTCTGTGCCTCATCTTCAAGGGTCACTGTGACACTCATGCTGAATCTGTAATATTTTCGTAAAAAGTTTACTTGATTTGTTTCAACAGGACAAAGAATTGCTAATGTATAATACTGAATAATTGCAGCAAAATATACAAAAGAATGAACTAATATGACACAAGTGTAGCACATCAGCCCACAAAACAATCACTTCAATTTCATAACATGTCATAAAAAAAAGAAAAGACAAAAAGAAGTAATGGATGATGATAATGATGATGATGGTGATTTTAGTGGTGACGATGATGTGTGATGGGATGGTGTATATATTATACATATATATATTATATATATATATATATATATATATATATACATATATATATTATATATTATATATATATATTAATATAATATATATATATATTATATATATATATATATATATATATATATATATATATATATATATATACATATATATATATATATATACTATATATATATATATATATATATATATATATATATATATATATATATATTATATATATATATATATATATATAATATATATATATATATATATATATATATATATATATATATATATATATATAATATATATATATATTATATATATATATATATATATATATATATATATAATATATATATATATATATATATATATATATATATATACATATATATATATATATATATAATATATATATATATATATATATATATATATATATATATATATATATATATGTACATATATATATATATATATATATATATATAATATATATATATATATATATATATATATATATATATATATATATATATATATATATAATATATATATATGTGTGTGTGTGTGTGTGTGTGTGTGTGTGTGTGTGTGTGTGTGTGTGTGTGTGTGTGTGTGTGTGTGTGTGTGTGTGTGTGTGTGTGTGTGTGTGTGTGTGTGTGTGTGTGTGTGTGTGTGTGTGTGTGTGTGTGTGTGTGTGTGTGTGTGTGTGTGTGTGTGTGTGTCTATATTGGAGGTTCATCTGTCATTATTTGTTCCTTTAAGCATAGGAAATGAATAAGCATTTTTCTTGTTTTTTTGTGATATGGTTTGTTTTTTTAATATAGTACCCTGCATATACATTGGCAAGTAAGAAAAGCTGAATTTTTAGGAAATGTCTAACGAAACAACCCAGGAGATGCTACCAACCAAATAATCCAATCTGATCTCATTGAAATGAAAATGGGTTGTGATGTTTTCGAGTCTCATAAGTTAGATTTTGATTTGTAAGTTCCAATTTTCATTTTATAAGAAAAGAACATATACTGCCCAGGTAAAATGAGATCAGATTAGGTTGTTTGGCTGGTAGCATCTCCTGGGTTGTTTTGTTAGACATTTCCTAAAAATTCTGCTTTTCTTACTTGCCAATGTATATGCAGGGTATTATATTAAAAAACAAACCAAATCACAAAAAACAAGAAAAATCCATATTCATTTGCTATGCTTAAAGGAACCAATAATGACAGATGAACCTCCAATTTTGTGCTATAAAGTTAAAGCAGGAATTTTCTAGCTCAAATAGCAAAGTCAATAATAACACTGCTATATCATCAATATATTTCATAAAGTATTCCTTTAACTAGGCTGAGTTAGACTGGCTAGGCTACGATATGTTAGGATGTGCTTGTTAGGACATGTTGGACTAGGTTATGATATGTTTGAATATGCTGGGCAAGGCTACAATATGTTTGGATATGCTAGGCTTTTCACAATATGTTAGGATATGCTGGGCTAAGCTACAATATGTTACGATATGCTGGGATGGGATATAATATGTTTGGATATGTTGGACTAGGCTACAGTATGTTAGAATATGCTGGGCTAGGCTACGATATGTTAGATTATGCTAGGCTTTTTTACAATATGTTAGGATATGCAAGGCTTTTTATGCTATGTTAGGATATGCTGGGCTGGGATATAATATGTTTGGATATGTTGGACTAGGCTACGATATGTTGGCATATGCTGGGCAAGGCTAAGATATGTTGAAATGTGCTGGGTTAGGCTAAGATATGTTAGGATATGCTAGGCTAGGCTACATTATGTTAGGTTATGCTGGGCTAGGCTACAATATGTTAGGGTATGCTGGGTTAGGCTACGATATGTTAAGATATGCTAGGCTAGGCTTCTTTAGGTTAGATTAGGTTTAGTTATTCATTGGCAAGATTATGTTTTTTAAATCTAAATGGTAGGATTCGGCAAAGGCTAGCTTAAGTCAGGTTATTTGGTAAACACGTAAACTGTAGTTGGTTAGCTACCTTGCTATTAATTTTTGAAAGAAGTCGCAAAGTAAAGAAAAACAGAAGACATAATATATAACCCATTATAAAGCTCATATAGGGTACTAATCTACATGAATAGAAAATTCAATGACATTTCTGGATATAGCTCAGCAATATCTATCTAATACTTATTAACTTCCAACAGCAATTTGCATCATTTCTGTGAGAAAGGTAAACAATGAAGAAAAAACAATTGTATTTAACACTGCCTTCATTGCATTCTAGCACTGTGCTCCCTAGGAATATTTAACATGAAAAACTACAAAATACAACAGCTAAACATGAATCTTTTCGGGTTATTAATGAGTGCATTGTGAGGGAATTTCATGACATGAGCTAACTAGTCGGTGTATTTTTAAGACACTTACCTATCTATACCACAGAGTGTCACCTTCGAAAGCAAAGCCAAGACCCAAAAGAAATTGATTAAAAAGTATGTCAAACAGAGAGATTAACCAATCTCAAAATAACAAGCGAGGGGTTTGTAGTCACGTGGTTTTGTTTACGTTGAGGGATTCATTCATTCCTGTCATTTATTGATAGTAAGAAGTTCGCTTTTATTTATTTATCTTTATATGCATTCTGCTCTGACTATGATCTTATTATGTTGATGATTGTTTTCTTGTCAGTAAGAATACAAATGCAAACGTGTCAGATCTTCAGTGACTGGAAAAATATACGTGTATTTTATCAGTGATACTAACACCACATTTCACATAAATATTTCAAGAATAGATATTCACAACCCTGTTCGTGAAAATGAATAATCAATGTGATAAAGGAAAGACAAGAAGAAAATCAAACTATAAAGAAAATAGAAAAGAAAAAAATAATAATCAGGAGAAAACATGGGAGAAAACTGAAAATGAAAGAAAAAGACAGGCTACAAAAATAATGAGGATAGGCGATAAGATAAAGAAAAAAAATCGATACAACCAGCTCGCAGATTCCTAGCAACTTCACCAGGCAACAAAGGACAGCAAATGCAAGACAAGAAGAAGAAAATATAGAATATACAAATAAAAATGTACAAACAGTAAAAGGAGAGGAAAACACTATAGAAACACAGCCAGCCGGTCAACATTGCATGCGAATCGCAAACCTTTGAATCCCCAGGCGCGATTAGCCATACGCCGTAAAGAATAATAACCATAATAATAATAAAGGAAATGGTTATGATTAAGGCAATATAAAAAATCTTATGGTACACGGAAGGCGCAGATGATAATGTTTGTAAATATTGTTTGTATTTATCTATTTTCAATCTCTCTGGTGGTCAAAGTTCAACAACTATTTTTGTCGAATGACTACATTCAATCATCTTTTTTTTTCAAGATAAATGATAATCTCTCTATATATTTTTCTATTATAATTTTTTTTCTTCAGATAAACAAATAAATCCATCTTGCATTTCTACCGGATAGGTAGATAGATAAATGTATATCTATCAGATAGATAAACACATATGCATTTACTTCTGTGCATATACATGTTCATAGGTATGAGTATTCATTGAGTCGGGCCTCGCACAATTTCAACAACCCGGCCGCAAGACGTCAATCGCGTTCAAACTTGGCGCGCAGCGAGAAGCCGACCCGAGCAAAACAACAACAAGAATTCCAACCGTTCAACCCCGCTGGAGGACGGCTTGCGGCACCTCTGTGTCCCCGCTTGAGCTGTTCAACGCCCAAGTCAGACTCCATTCACCGGGTCAGAAGTCCCGCAGCAAGTCGGACGTCTCTTGTTCATACAGAAATCCCCCCGGCAACCCTTGAGCAATCGCCATGGGAGGAGTAACGCAGCCTTCCTTCATATTTCCTCTCGTCACTGGCACTTTTACGGCTGTCACTTACGTGTTTTTCGTGGTGGTTTACACAGTGCAGCCAAAGCCCTTTATAGACGAGGCTTTTCACATCCCTCAGGCGCAGAAGTACTGTCAGGGAAACTTTGAAGAGGTATGTATGTTTGCATTGTTTGGTTTTCTTTGTGTAATATGTGTGTTATTTGATTTGTTATATTGTCCTATTTGCTTTTTGATTTGAGTAACTTCAGAATTCCAATGCAAGATAAATCATGAAGGTGCTGGTACTGATGGAGTTTGCTCACCCTCTACCACTCATATAAGTAATTAAGGACATGCTGCAGAAATCCTGCTTACCCCACAAACAGAGCAATTGTAAGGCAGAGTATGGGTAATTTTTTCTAATACTTCCTCTACTGATAATAATGGATCATGATTTAGGTACTGTTGGATTCCTCTCACTGTCAAGTTTACAAATACACAAAAAATATTCCCAGTAACCCTGCCAAACCCCCACATTCTTGGCCCTGATTACAGGGAGGGCATGAAAGCCACCAGAGAATTTGTTAAGTAAAATGTAGATAATGTTCACAGAATCAGTCACTATATTCTCTAATGCAGGGATCTACGACCACCCCATAGGGTGCTGCTGCCCCTCAAACCCTGCCCAGGAAAACAAAGAATCTTTCATGTATTCACAGCAGGAGAGAGCATACGATCACCATGTAGGAACTGTGATGCCAAGTCTGTCCGACATTTTCTTCTGCCATGATTATATAGAGGATTCTTTGTAATCCTGGGTGGGGATTGGGGTGTGACAGCCCCCATGGGGGCAATTTCCCTGGTGGCTTTCATGCTCCCCCTTGCTATTGAGGCTAAGAATGTGGAGATTGGGGGAGTTTCTGCACAATAAAGCCTACATATTTGTATTGTAGACAGTGAGAGGAATCCAGTGATACTGAAATCAGTTATCTTTTATTAGAAAAAATTACAGATAAGGTATACGAAAGGACCCAACCGACTAGGAAAAAATTGAAGATTGTTGTGTTGTAGGCAATGAAAAAATACATTCATTGCTATTAAAATTGATGTGCAGTATTGAACCTATTTGAGTTAAACAATGAAAATGTGGAGACTAAGTCCCCTTGTGCTTCCAGTGACAAAGTCCAGCCCTCCTTGCATCAAAGCAAACAACTTCGCTGAGTAGGAACCCAACATAAAATGTCTTGGCGCATATAGCTCGTGATGTCACGACCAATTTCTTAGAAGTACAGTGTAGTATAAAGTATTTCTGTATTCGGTAATTATTTCCAACATAACTGCACTTGTTGGAGATAAAGTCCCCAACTCCAGTCAACAATATTGGGGGATCCTGTTAGGAATCGGGTTTTAGAGGGAGAGGGGTAAGGACAATTTTGCTCACTGCAGGGATTTTAAAGGTGAAGAAAGACTAAAAATGAAAAACCCGAGACAAGATTTGGCCATAAAGATTTAACCCGTGCGTTGCGTGAACGAATGAACAGGCAAACCCAGCCTAGACGCGTAATCTATCACAAAGATCACCATAGGAACCAAAGAACTTCCTAACCCCTTCTGATCGTCGTATTTCCCTACCAGGGGCTCTGCCCTTGGACCACTTCCTGAGTGCCGTATTTCCCAACCAGGGGCTCGGCCACTGGTAGGGAAATACTTTTCCCTACCAGGGGCCTACTTTGCTTTGTGATGAAATCGATCTCTCACTGAAATCGTTATGATATTGGGGATAGCACTAAACACAGTGAAATACAATAACTGTGTCCCAACTGTAGAATTTCTTCTGCATTGGCATATGGTATTCGGAAGGCAGTCTGGGGGCATAGCCCCCAGGTTAAAAAGGTTTTTGGTTCCTATGGTGATCCTTCTGGTAGTCTGTACTTTTGAGATGTAGTTCACTCTTTCGTTTGTTCACACAGCACCATTTCAAATCAGCTATGGCTGAATCATGTCTCAAATTTTTACTTTTTTTTTTTTTTATTATATGAAATACCATTTTTGGCTCAGATTTTCAGTTTCAATATTCTTTTGCTTTTGCATTTCCATATATCTCAGTATGTCACTTGGTAACAATAACTAAATATGAAGGAGTTGTACTGCATTTGTGTGAGATTAACCCACTAGCGTGGGTATATTTTGAAGCCTAAAATAATTGTTTTTGGGCAGCTTTAAAATCGGCATGTGGGGCTGGCCCAGAATCTGCCAGTGCGTCGGCTGTGGCCTGCGACGGAATCAGGGTGCGATCTGTGATCCAGCAGTGTTTATTTTTCTGGGTGTCACACATGTGGGACACCCATTGTAAATGGGTTAAGATCCTTGTGATATATAGTGCAACTACCCCAGAAAAGCTGCTGCCATTACCCCGAAAAACAATAAATCCACATTTTCTTGCCAGGTTGGAACTTATATCTGACATGCAGGTTGAAATAAATCATAAAGAGATATATACTTCATATTATTTAATGCAGGGGGCTGTGGTTTCTGTGACTCCCTGAGGGGACAACTAACTCCAAATCCACACCCCGGAACACAAGGCCCAGCATTATACGCTATAGGGTATGTGTTGACACCATGTGAATGATCACTTACTCCATCCTACCATAGACACGTGAAGGATTCTTTGTTTTTCATGGTGGCTGTATGCCAAATTACTTGAACATGCATGTCCTGAGAAAAGACCAGGATGACAAAAGACTTGCCATGAGTTCACATACCTCTTGAGTGTGATTAAACTCATTTAGTGCTTACTAGGGTGCTTTTGTATTATTGATAAATGAATGTGAATTTAATGTGTCTAAGCTGTGACTGGAAGAGTGCCAACTCCAGGGAGGACACTATTTCCATGCTTAGCTTCTTATTCCTGGCTGCTGTGACTGACGGTATAGGTTGTATTAAAGAAATTAATAAAAAATGCATAAAAATAAGACATGATACAAATAACCAAATGTTACTTTTTTTCTTTTTTGTTCTTTTCTTGCATTGAGTTATTTACTACATAGAGAGATGATATGGAATCTGTGCAAGGAAAATAAGCTATTACCATCTGGATAGAGCAACTCAAAAGACTTATATGGGCACTGGGAAATGGCAAAAAAAAAAAAAAAAAAAAAAAAAAAAAAAAAAAAAAAAAAAAAAAAAAAAAAAAACTTTGCAAAAGGGAAGCACAGTCTTGTCACTGCTTATGAGTACTTGTGCATGTCTGGCCTACATGCAACATGCCTGGGATATTGGCCATTTACATAAACCTGCCTGTATTTATGGCCCAATGATTTCTGGGGCGCAACCAGACCTGAGGGGTTAATAGTAGAGGGGAAGAGGAATCCATCAGTAATGGAATTGTCATAGTCAGATGTGTAGAAGTATTTGTTTGTTTGTTTTGATTTTCCTTATTCTTATTTCAATATATGTCCACTGTGTATATTTCTTCCCTTTTTTTCTATTTAAATTTTAGGATTGCTCTTCCTCAGGGTACATCTTTATATTGACTCTGTATGTGTTATAGTTTTGTGAAGATACACGGAAACTGACCATTGAAACCATACGTTGAACTTGGCCAAATAATAGATGCTTAGAATTCTATTCTGGAGAAGCTGAAGGCTGCTGATCAAGTAATCATAATTGCATGATTTAAATCAGAATTAAAAGGAGGTTATTTTCTTTTCTGAATTATGTTTGTATCTAAAAGATGGTTTATTTTACCTAGTACAAAGATGGATGTATCAAGCAAAGATCATTGTATATATTATTTTTTCAGGAAATATAATGATAAAGCATATTTTGTTTAGGGATTACAATTCTTAGTAGGTCTATGTAATATATGTTTGTGTGTAGTGGCGTATGAAATAAATGAATGCATGCTGAAAATCTCTCTCTCTCTCTCTCTCTCTCTCTCTCTCTCTCTCTCTCTCTCTCTCTCTCTCTCTCTCTCTCTCTCTCTCTCTCTCTCTCTCTCTCTCTCTCTCTCTCTCTCTCTCTCTCTCTCTCTCTCTCTCTCTCTCTCTCTCTCTCTCTCTCTCTCTCTCTCTCTCTCTCTCTCTCTCTCTCTCTCTCTCTCTCTCTCTCTCTCTCTCTCTCTCTCAAAAGTGTACTATTCATTATTTCCTTTAATTATTTTTTATTTTCCCGTTTTAAGCATTTATTTTACTGCAGTACTACCTCCTATTGTCATTAATGTGTGCTCTACTACTTGACAGTGGGATCCCAAGATCACAACATTGCCAGGACTCTACCTGTTTTCGATCGGCTTAAATGGACCCGTGGCTAAGGTGCTTGGGAGGGACCTGTGCGATGTGTTCTCTCTGCGCATCACCAATCTTGTGGCCACAGCATTCCTACTCTCCACCATTCATAAGCTTCTTGTGTATTTACATGGAAACAAGGTTAGTCTTCCTGATTTTGCACATTGACTTTATATCCTGTAAATATATGTATGTTTAATGATTCCTTTATTAAATTTATTTGTTTATTTATTTGTTAATTGGATTATTATCTCATCCTTATATTGGGTGCTGGCTAGACATTCCTTTTTCACTGATGCCATGTATTTATTTATTTCTAGGTTGATAACTGGAAACTCATACTCAGTGCTGTAAACCTGTCACTTCTGCCAGTGCTCTATTGGTTCACTTTCCTGTATTATACGGATGTCCTCTCAACCTTAGTGGTGATGGTTATGATTCTTCTCCATTTGCACCAAGCTCCAACAATGGCAGCAGCAGCAGCTGGGGGAGTGACACACACACACACACACACACACACACACACACACACACACACACACACACACACACACACACACACACACACACACACACACACACACACAGACACACACACACACACACACACACATCACACACAGACACAGACACAGACACAGACACAGACACAGACACACACACACACACACACACACACACACACACACACACACACACACACACACACACACACACACACACACACCACACACACACACACATACACACAAACACAACACAAACACCACACACAAACACACACACACACACACACACACACACACACACACACACACACACACACAACACACACACACACACACACACACACACACACACACACACACACACACACACACACACACACACACACAACACACACACACACACAACACACAAACACAAACACAAAGAAAGAAAGAAAGAAAGAAAGAAAACTTGCAAATGCAAGAAATTTGACCATAAACAAAGAAAAACTAAATTTTATGTATGATATATATGAATATCTCTCATTACCAGGTGTTGTAGCTGTCATGATGCGACAAACGAATGTCATTTGGGTTGGATTCCTCTGTGTATTGATAGCATCAGATACATTAGGTGCCAGGGTGCTGAAAGGACCCATAAACACACTGTCTGATGTTAAGGTAAGAACATTTTTTCTTCCTTGTATCATTGTAGGATTTTACTGATATGTTTTATAGACACCTTTAGGTAGCAAATGACTAACGTGATGGAGAAGGTAGTTGATGTAATTTTGGAATTTTTGAATTAGGGAGTATTTGATAGTGAAATTTTTTATTGGTGCAATATCAAATATAACCATGTGATTGTCCTGATATCAGGGGAGGGTATAAAGAATACCAGGAGAATTGCAGGGTAAAACAGGCTGAAATACAAAGAATTTTTTTAATGCTCAAAATCAGCTGGTGAAGCTCTGTTCTTGAAAGTCTATAAGCCAAAGCTTCAGATTTTGAAAAATCTATGGGAACCCTGTATACACCATAAACCAGGGACTGGTGATTCCAAAATAATAATGTTCACAAGTATGTAGTAATGCACAAACTTCTTTATATGTTACAGTAACGAGTCATGTGGCCATCATTAAACTTGACTCCACACTGTACAAATCATGAGCAACTTAGGAAACTTAGGTCTATATGTGCACAATCCCTCCCCCTCCCAACTTAAACGGTCTTATTTACAACATATAGCTTGGGATTATATTGTATTATTTAAAATATTGCCCTTATGAATTTCCTCTGGTTTAACAAAGTGTTCTTTTGCCTTCCAGTCCGTGCTGAGGAAATTGAAAAAGACAGCAACAAAACCATACCGCCTGGCAGAGGTGTTGGCTGATGTGGTTGTGGACAGCTTCTGTTACGTTTTAGTCCTGATTGCCTTTTCAGTCTTTGTCTCCTACAATGGCAGTATAGTCCTGGGGGATCGTTCTGCACATGAGGCCACAGTACACCTCCCACAGCTTGGTTACTTCTGCCTTTTCTTCCTCATTTTTTCTCTGCCGTATGCTCCCAGTCATGTGCAGCCTTTCATGAACCTCTGCAAGCGTCATGTCTTCCTGGCATTGGCATTGCTTGTGGTGGGTGTCATGGCTGTACACTCAAACACATTGGAGCACCCTTATTTACTGGCAGACAATCGTCACTATACGTTCTACCTTTGGAATAGGTTCTATGGCAGGTATTCCTTCTTCAGGTACATCATGGTGCCCATATACATGTTTGGTGCATACATGGTATACTCATCCATCCAAGGTTGCAGTTTTGTCTTCAAGGTACTTTTCGTTGCATGCCTGGCTGCTATGGTGGTACCCCAGAAGTTGCTGGAGTTCAGATACTTCATCATCCCTTTCCTAATTGCTCGCATGCAGACTGTCTCTAAAAACTGGCTTCAACTGTGGACAGAGATGCTGTATTTCCTCCTCATCAATGCCATCACTTTGTATATCTTTGTGAGCAAGACCTTCTTGTGGGAGGACAGTGCAGAGCTTCAAAGAATTATCTGGTGAGCAAAGGACTTCTGGTTTTGCAGACTCCATGTCAAACTCTTTTGAAGTGGCCAATTGTATAGTTTTTTATATACATTTATTTTTTCCTCTTGGAACTAACAGAGTATTTTCAGAGAACGAAAGTAAAATGTTCTACAACTAGTATGTGTAGTATGTTAATGTATGTTTATGTATATGTGTATATGTATATTTAATGTATAAACACCTACATATGTTAGTGTATGTATATAAGATATACATATAGCCTTATTTCTAGGGTCGAGAGATAGAAGAGCCAGTGCCCAAAAATGCCAATTTTGAGATAAGCCTACCACCTAAAAAAAATTTTTTCTACAAGTGTTACAAAAACTAATGTCATCAAAGTATTAGGGGCGTCACATGAGCATGGTTTGAAAACCCAGTTCACCGAATATCATATTTCCCAATGTGGGACTGAAATTGCTGTGTCTTGAATATACAGCAATGGAAAGCTTCAGGTTGGTCACTTTTACTATTCTATATTTTCCTTAAGTCAGTATCCCATTTTCAATATACAGGTAATGGGTTTTGTTGTTACAGAAAGGGGGGAGGGGAAATGTGAATATTACAGAATTGTAGTTAAGGGAAATTTATGTATTTATATTTGGTATAAAAACTTTAGAAATTGAATTAGGAGGAGTGGTATAAACACCAGCAGCAGTAAGTATCATAACTTATCAATTAATCTGCAATAATTTTTTTTTTTTGCAATATGTGTTTTGAAACAGTAAAAAAGTATATATATTATATATGCTTTTTGATATAATTTTTTAAATTTTCATTATGTAAAAAAATCTTTAAAAATATTAGATTAATGTAGCACAGTTTAGTAACAGGAAGAACTCTCTTTCATGAACTGTTATTTGCTGAATCTCATTAAGGGAGCAAACTCTTAACGGCTTTTTCTCAACATTGACTTTTTTTTTATGTTGGCCCTTCTCGGTCCTAGATTTTTGCTACAGTTATTGTATTAGCAGTATTACCATTCATCTTTATTTAGTACTGTTTGTAGATATAATTCACAATATAGAATGATAAACAGTTTCATAATGAATTGCTCTCCATAAGATATGAGATCTAAATTTGGAATGACTGAAAAAAAGATCAAGGCTCCGTCCATACTAAATCCAACAAGCAGTTTGGAATCAGGATGGCAGTAGACAACTGAATTTAGAATCCACCACATGATAAGAACATTGGTTGTAGAAAATGGCATCTTTGATTTGAATATTGAATGTAGAAAATAGCATCTTTACTCTGTTAGTTCTGTATAAACATGTCACTAGCACTTTTTTTTTCTCTCTCTTGTTTAGGAAATAGCTTGGATCATGTTGATTAAGTTTTGTACAGATTCTGTGGATTTTGAAAGGAGTTATGTTTTTATAAAAATGTTGTGAAATAATATGTAAAACTAATAGTTGTCCATTTTTTTACAAATAACAAAAGTGCTGTATTTAGTTTTATTCCCTCCTCAGAAGAAGGGAAAAGTTCACTTAAACTTTGTAACAAAGTGCCTCCTTGTAATGCTGTTAATGGACACAGTGTGTGGTTTGTACACAATGAGCCTTTTTTGCTCAGTAAATGTTCTCCTTTTGTAGATGGAAGTAGTTTTTGCTCAGTCACCAAAAGCTGATGTATTTGATGGAAGTTGGATGAATTGAGTGACAGAAGGAATAGTTCATTCATTCATTCATTATGTTGTTTTAAAGTTCAAGTACATGGGATCAATCTTTAACTGATTTCCATTTTAATCCCAGTATTTTGGAGCTGTTTTCAATAAAACTAAACATCTTTTGATTTGTTATTGTGTTGTCTGTGTGTTACACAGACAGGCAATGTATGTTTTTTATGTAGGTCATAATTGGCATTTTTTTCTTTTGTTCAATGTTATACTGTCCATAAAATTTAATGAAGCCAACAGATGAATGCAAAGTATATTAGAAGAAATAATAATATTGCCTTCATAAACATGAATTGATCGTATGATTATAGATTTAATCAGATTATGGGAATGAATTGTCATATTGTTATGTTTTTACCTTGCATATCTTGAATGATTCATACAGTATGTTTACAATAAACATGATTGATAACAGAAGCCAGAGGTCACCTATCACATGTGCTCAAAACGTTCAGAATCTGTATGACGTTCTTGATATGGTGTCATAGTGGTAACCTCATCCTTCCTATTGCGTGATCCTAGAAGCATATGCAATATAAGATTGCTTCTCGATGAAGCCACAATCTTGTTGGCTTTGTTAGTTATGGGAGATTCCATTTACGAGGGCAGGCTTTTCTCCCTTAGGAATATTGGACCAGCGAGTCTGCCTTCTTTTTCAAAAAGTGTGGGGTCATGTTTTTGTTGCCCCGTAGTCAATTGGTTAACTGAATCAAGTTTATCTAGTCTACACTTAGCGATATTTAACTACCTGTGGTGCGTTTGAGGACTTTATACTTATTTAATTAATTAATTAATTTATTTTTGCCAATATAATATAGTACACAAAGGTTATACTTTGAGTAATGTTTGCATTGTGTGCAATCACCAGTGGACATAAAATTACAGTTTACCAAGATATGTATTTAAGACCCAAGAAAACTTTCAAGAATTTCAGATATGGTATTGTTATCTTGTATTATTTACATTGATGGTGTTTATGATCCTGTAATTATTGCAATCTTATCAGAATTATCTGTTTCTGTGATTAATTCTTGTAATAATAGTGTTTGTGATTATCATTGCTGTTAGTATGGGATATAGTTATATTTATGATAATGTAGTTACATTATCATAAAATAAATCACTGTTCTCTGGCTCCCTATATAGTTTTTTTTTTTTTTTTTTTTTTATGGATGAAGAAAGACAGACTTCGGTGTGAAGTCATGTCAGTCTAATTGCAACTATTTATTTTGTTTATTTGCAAGTAATTTGATTTGAAAATGATAATACTGATACTCACTTGTGCAGCTTAAAAATACGGGATCACTTTAGGATGCACGTGTAGGGTATGCCGTGAAGGAGTTCAGGATACTGAACACATGATGCAAATGAGTAATACACTTTGAACATGATGGCTGTAAGTCCTGAGTTTCATGATATACATAATTAAGATAATTAATGCTCTAAACGCACACTAACATTATACGACTTCACATTTGATTTTCTCGTTTCCATATTTATATATTTGTTTATTTATTTATTTATCCATCTTTGAGAAAATTACCCTATTAAATTAAAAATGCTATTCTATTACTATATTTTATATATTACCATGCAGGTAGTATGGCTGTTACTTAGATTATGTTTTTAATGGTTATTTGCATGGAGAGA